TTACCAATATATATATATATATATATATATAATGATATTGATAGATTAAAATTAATAGGGGACATTTTTAATAGATTAAAATTAATATAAAATTAATAGATTAAAATTAATATATATAATAGATGATGGACTATTGATATACTAAGATTTAGTGAATAAAATTAATGTTTTTATTGATTTATTAAAAGTTTAACTGACATACATATTTACTTCGTTTTTCTTGTATTACTGTTGTTTAGAAGTATGATTATTCACTGATCTGTTTAGCTCATTTTTATTTTAAACTAATTTTTTAGTTTAATTAAGTGATTAAAAGATGAACGATAGAAGAGATAATGCTTATAGAAGATGCGGACAAACAATAAAAATGTAAATTTAAATATATTATTTTAATTTAATTTGTTTAGTAATTTTTTAATTTATTAATATTTAGTTATAGAAAATATATTGAAAAATTTAATTTTCACCGTCCGACCGTCTGTTTTCGTTTTGATTAATTTACATGGATGTAAGAGAGTGCAATGATAGGCTGTATGGAGCTGGTAACATGGACGAGGTGTAGCTGAGTTTGTGCAACACTGCTGGCGGAACTGAGTTTGGACAATGTTATGGGTGCTAATGGAGCTGCAACAAGGGAGACTCGGATGGACTGCAGGTGGGGCCTACCGCTGGAGGTGAAGGTAGGAGGGCCAGCCTGCAGGGAAAACAAGTACATGATTGTTTTTTTTGGTGGTTTGCAACAAGGACAATGATGGTGACGATGACAATTGAGGGTCTCAAAGGAAGGGTAAGTCCTGGATAATACCACATCAAGAGCAAGATACAGCTAGGGCCGAGCTTGAGCGAGCTCAGGCTTGGCTCGTGTTCGTCTTGTTCGAAAAAGCTCGTGTTCGAAATCGGCTCGTGTACGAAATCGGCTCGTGAACAGTGTGTTCGTGTTCGACTCGATTAAAATATTCATATTCGTGTTCGGCTCGTGTTCGGCTAGAAATTGGCTCGTTAAAATTAAATTGAAAAAAATATATGTAAAGTGTGGGATTCGAACCTGGATATATAAATAATTTATGTAATATATTGTTATATAATTTTTTTTTCGAGTCATTTCGAGCCGAACACGAGCGAATAAACTGTTGTTTGTGTTCGGCTCGTTTACATTTAGAGCTTAAAAAATTATTCGTGTTCGGCTCGTTAGGCTTAACGAACGAGCCAAACACGAGCTGCTTAACGAGCCAAACACGAGCTGTTCACGAACAACGAGCCAAATTGACAGCTCTAGATACAGCCGTAGCACCACTCGTTCCTTTGAAGATAAACATCACCTCAGAATGAGATACAACTGAAAAACTACTTGACATTGGATATAGTCCGAAAAGGGAAAATAGGGGACATCGACGGCTGTCCTGAAAGAAACACTATAAAAAACTGATCTATAATGTGAAAATAATATACTTGTAGACCTAGGGTAACCGAGGAGTGGACCCATTCCAATTGGGCGGTGAATCCACGTAAAGGGTCAATTGGCCTTCTTGGACTGGTCCAAAGCCGCAACGGTTGTCTCCCGCAATCGTGAATTCTTGAGTCCCACTTCTTAGTGGGAGACACTTGCATCGCAAAGAGACAGTCGCGGCAGTATGTTTTTCTACTATCGAAATTGGACATCAATTAGTAAAAACGTGATGTTTATACTTAATAACTTTTAATTTAAAATAATTATTTATGAATTAATTTAAAAAATCCTAACCTTCAGTTTATATGTTTCAGCTTGTCTTTGAACTAATAGCGAGCTCACATGCGAGAAATCAGAGTTTCATGCTTGAAGGACATAAGAGTGTTGTGCGAGAACAAAATGTAAGTGCAATTTCGTCTCTCTTATACACGGTGTTGTCGATGCTAGCTTCACACAACACTAGCACATGCCATCGTCTCTCCCTTTCTTGTTTTCTCGGTCTCAAACGAAGAGCCTCGTTTGTCTCCTTGCTTGGGATGATGAAACAAAGCTCTCTTCCTTCGCCTCCTATTAACGGAACCATCTCGTGGGTTACGTCGAACCGACAACCAATTTAATTTCTTGATTTTTTTCAGTTTTTACAGAAGAAATTATTATGCATTAGTATATACAATTTAATTTAATAGTAGAAACTCTAATCATTAGGCCTATGAATCATTTTATTCGTAATATCGATTGTTTGTATACATTCTAATTAAAAAAAAAGAATCAAATTTCTTGATTAAAATCAATTTCAGATTAGCATAAAATTTTCAAATCTAATATCCTCGAAATAGTTTTTTTTTTTCAAACAAAAAGATTTCTCATTCAAGCTTTTCTCATTCAAGCTTTTAAGCTTATATACCTCAAACTTAACTCGATTTGTAGAGTAAATTATGAAAAACCTAATTCTAGATAACCAAACTCAATCTTCCTTCTTCTTCTTCTTCTTCTCCTTCTCCTTATTCTTCTTCATCTTCCCCTCTTCTCTTCTTGCTCTTCCCTCTCCGACTTCGCTTATTCTCTGCTACAGGCCAAATGTTTATAGGAAAATGGTATATTGGAATATATACTTAAAATTATTACTCCACAATTAATAATCATATGAAAGAGTTGATATCCCTTTAAAATCCAAAACCATCCCAGCCATTTATCAATCCATCAACTATTCCATGCACAGGATAGTGGAAAAGCCTTGGTTGCTACAGGACGTTAATTCATGCTACGATGAAATAATTTAAGCGAACAATAATTTTAATTAAAACCTCAAAAATTGCTTTAATAAGTAAATTAAATATGTTGTCTGCTGTAATTAGATTATTTATGCGTACATATATGTATCAAAATGATTATAATTAAGAATTTTATAGTTATTTTTTTATTTTCAGGATATGCAAAAATTGGCTTATAAAAATTTAAGTGAGTTTTGATTGCATCTTTCCACATTTTTAAGTATTACATTTATATTTTGTTCTGATTGTTAAATGCACAAGTAACCATTCAATTTTTTATTGGAGCGATGCTCAATGCAACCCTACATCATCGCTAGAAGCATGGAGATCGTCTAAAGTGACACTAGCACTGCAGTGTATGAGTTAGAGTCTCTTTACAAATTGTACGACACATCTTTATGGTGGTGTTTGATTGAATATCACGACCCTTTTACTAAATATCGCTTCCTTTTATTAATAAAAGGGTCATGTTGCGATCCAAGATCTTTTGTTGCTTCTTTCTTTGCTCTAATTTTTTTCTTATTTCCTATCCCATCTAGCATTCCTTCTAGTCTTTCTGTAACTTCTCATTGACCATCTCTTTAGCTTGAGAGATCAAATTTATTTTTTATATATTTTTTGTATCAACTTTATTTCCTTTGTTCTACAATCTTTCTTATATAAAATTATCTTTTGCATATTGATACCAATATTGTCAAATGCAAAAGCAAGCATCCACTTTTTTTTGGAGTGAGATTGCATCCCTACTTGTCTCCAATGTTAGAAGCACAATGATAACCTATAGTGACACTCAAGCACCAGTGTATATAGGCCAGAGTTGCTTTGTAGAACACTAGCTATTTATATTTTTTCTTTAAAATCACGTACACACACGGATGTGCTAGGGAATACACGATATACACGACATATCCTTGCGGTGGTGTTTGTTTGAATATCTCGACTCAACTTACTAAATATGCTAGTGCGGTTCGGTAATGGATCACATGGTGATCTAGGGTTTCCCATTGGTTTTTTTTACGCTCTTACGTTATTTTCTATTGCTATTTCCTATGCCATCCAGCATTTTTTTTATGTCTTCATATCTTTGCGTTGACAATCTCTTTAGATCAAGAGCTCAAATTTTGTTTTTAAGATGTTTCCTTGAGTTTCTTTGTTTGAGGATTTTATGGTTTCTTCCAAAACTTTAGCTCTTTCCCCCCTCACATGATTTTTCATTTCCTTTCTTAATTGTCTAGAGAAATTTGAAGTGGTTGATATATTTAAATGTACAAATTACTACCTTTAAATTGGTGCTTCTTTGGTTCACCTTTCTCTGCTACATTTTATTTGAATGGCGATAATAGTTTGTATGAGAACTTCTTATGTATTTATTTTCTCATTACATCTTCTGTTTTGGGCGATTCAATTTTTTTAGCAGTTTTTTTTCCTCATTACATCTTCTGGTTCCTTTTCAGCATTTTTTTGGTCTGGTTACTTTACCTTGTATTTTTTTTCATGATGTTGTGGTTTTTGTTTACTGTTAGCTCTGTTGCTGGTTTTGGTGTACTAGTTTAGAGCATGAATACATTTTTTTTCGTTTCACTTTTCTATGCAGCTCTTCCTTGCCGCTCTAATAATTTGCTTCTATTTCTGCGATTTTCATAGAGATGGATTTGCTTGATCTTAATTTTTTGGCTTTTTATATTAACTTTTTTTAGAAATGTTTATTCGTTTCTTGCTTTCCTGACTGTTCTATCCTGATCTTGTTGATCCACCTGCTGAGTTATTGGCACCTGCTGAGTTATTGGCTTGCTTTTAAGCAAACGGATGAATCTAATCATTTCTAAAATCAATTTTAGGCTCAACTCTACAATGTTTACAGGTTGAAGAAACACATTCCTTGCGTCATTTTTCTTTAAGTTTAATAGGAGAACATTTTACTTTTTAGTTAAGGCTGTTTTGATCTTCTCTGTGTACTTTATGAGCTCCATCAGTCATTTTAGAAGTAACATGGTTTGAAGATGCCCTTGCAATTTTTTTTTAATGGATATATTTACTGAAATGTATTTATAAAGCTGTTACCTCTATTTTTTTGTTGTGATTTGTATTTTTCACTTATGTTAGATATGTCAGGTGCTTTGATTGTCTCGACTCCTCAGGACATTGCTTTGATTGATGCTCGAAGAGGAGCCAACATGTTTCTTAAAGTTGAAGTTCCGGTATGGACATCTGCCTCTGTTATCTTTTTGAAGTGAATTTCCTTACTATTTTTTTCTCAGGCAGATATACTTTCTTTTTTAGATTATCAGCAGTAGTGCTTCAATAGCGCATGATCCTTTTTTATTTTCGTATTAGACATTCTTTTGGGCTGTAAGGTATGAGTGATGGTTCTTACCATTGTAGCAGTCTTTCGGGGCTATAGCAACGTGATTTTCCTTGCTGTTGCAATCTGCTGCTTTCCTGTTTGTTCCCCAATTCTCCTTTCATAAAGCTTATCCTTTGTTTTTTCCAGTTCCCGTTTTGTGCTTTTCCTTTGTTCTATAGTTTTCCTGATTTGACTAATTCTCTAGGAGCCCACAACTCTGTTTTGGCTTTAGTATTTCTATTACAGGGATGCTCCATCTTCGTTGTACCTTAGCCTTCGGCGTCACTTGAATGCAAAATTTATGCATTTTCTTAAATAGTTGGAAGGGGCTTTTAAATACGCTTTTGATTATAAATAGGCTTTGGGGAATATATAGAACCTATTTATTGCTGAAGGAAAATTGTTGATAGCTGTTGGTATTCGGGTCCTCAACCCAATGAGAGTTACAAAATTCCATATAAGGTTATCTCCTAGTATAAGAATGTTGATGCTTAGTTTTTCTTGAATAATTTGCTTTCTTATTTTCTTTTCCTCTCCTCTTTTTTATATTTTTCAATTTTCATTATTGGGTTGAAAGGGAGATTGTGACTAGTCAAATTTTATACATTTTGGGTTTATATTTTGTGAAAGAATTTCAATGTGATGCCTTTGAGATTTCTATTTAGTGCAGGAATTTAAATATGTGGTGCCTTCGAGCTTTTGGTTTTTAATTTGATGGTCAAATCCAAATATTGAAATTAAAGTACCATAAAGTGTTATTATAGAGGTTTAATTAGCTGTGAATGATTGCGGTGGATCATAAGTGAATGTATGGTTAAATAACTTTTTATACTGTAGGTTTGGTTTGTAATTCTATTCTTTTTATACTGTGAATGGATTGTGATCAAATAAATCTTGTCGTCCACCCTCTCACATTTTGCTATATTTGCCATGGTGTTGAATCTGAGAAGTTGATATGATCTGAGTGTGAGAAACTTAGATATAGTAAGGCTGGAGGCTACATTGAAGAACCTAAAGGATTTTCACTCATTTACTCTATGGAAGTATCTGATGTTGGTTGTCCTGCATTATTTATTGTTTTTGATACATGAGATTACTCTACTGTGCACGATTAATTGCAAAACCTAAACATGCACACACAAACAAAATATATAAAAGATAGAGTTTCTATGGCTGGAGAATGCTACTGTTTAAGAATATAAAGCTGCAAATCTTTTTTTCCCCCTTTGAGTGGGAAATTCAGAACAGATCATATATATTTGTAAGTCGCTTTTACTTGAATACTTAGATCTCCTCTTCTCGTTAATTAATTTGGTTTATTTTTGTGAATTCTCTGTCATTCGCTTCTAATGCATTTTTGGACGTCTGAACTTGAATAACACGGGCGCGCCAATAATGCCACGGGCACACCAACAACGCTGCGGGCATGCCAATAATGCCACGAACGCGGTGTATAGGAAGTCGCGGTTTTCCCGCAATGTTCTTTGTCTTGATCGAACCGGTCCAGACGTGGTAGGGCCGATCGGCTCTCCCACGAGGATTGGTGCCTATTTTCTATAGGAGGATCCAATCCTAGTTATCCATGGCTTATATATTTGATTCATGTTTCGAGGCATTTATTTTTTTGGCGTCAGTTTGTTTAGGACACCCGCTAACATCCATTTTTCCTTTCGAGGGTTGTATTCGAGGGATACAACTTGTGCTCCGGTTGTATCTCTCTCTCGAGGTGGTGATTATCTTCCCCTATCACCTTCTGCATGTAATAACTAAATTTTTAATTAAATAATAAAAGGATAAAATATTAAATAATAATAATATCATTCTTGAATTGGAACCATTGGGACGATTCGTTAGGTGAAGTCGAGAGGAGGAGGGCATCTCTCGATCATTCTTCGTTCCTAACCGTCATAGAACGAACAAAGAGCGAGCGAGAGAGAGAGAGAGTGAGAGAAAAGTCATAGAAAGGAAAGAGAAGAGGACACCGAAGAAAAGAGTCTAGCGACATCGTGCGTGTGTTTTTGAGTCGAGCCAAAACCGAAGGAGGCAAAAGAAAGGATCTTCGACTCTGTTGAGTCGCGATCGAAAGTGTAGAGGAAGAGGAAGAACGAGCAGCTCTGTTGAAGGGGAAGAAGCTCAGATGCGACGTGGAGGAAGGAGCGGAAGCTCGCGTGCTTTGTTGGGGGGGGTGGAGGGTGAGTGGTAAAGGAACTGAAGGAAGATGGGCGAGGATGAGCTCGCGTGGTCGAGCGTGAGGTTAGGGTAGAGCCGAAAATTTGCGTGCGCTGCTCTGTCGAGTCTAGCCGTGCCGCGAAGAAGAAGAAGAAGATAAGAGATCAGCTTCGTGCTGTGCCGCGAAGAAGAAGAAGAAGAAGATAAGAGATCAGCTTCGTGCTGGTGTGCGGGAAGAAGAGAAAGGGAGCTGAACTTGGGCGTGCGTGAAATAGGGTTGCCGACCGAGTTTATGTAAGCTAAGGTTTGTGAGTTTTAATTTAAATTAAATAAATTTGATTTAGTTCAAGCTTTAAAATATTTAAGTTAATTAATTAAATAGATTATAAGATTAACATTCATAGTTTATGATTTTAATTCAGATATTGTAAGTGGATGGTTTTGATGTGAAGAAAAGGAAGACGACTTGTGTACAATTTAAAGCCTTGTATGAGAACGATAAGAATTGGATCTAATTATAGTTTTATGATATTAATTACTTAAATGGGAATATTTTTACTTACTAAATGCTAATAACAAGTTTAATTTAAGCAAATATAAATGTAGAAGATTAGTGGTGAATCAATTAGAGCTGTTTGAGGAAAGAGGAGTTCTGTGCCAGAAGCAACCCAAATCTTTTAAGGTAAGGAATTTCCTAATTGACTTATATGTGTCAATTTAGTTATAGATCATTAGATATGTAAGTCTTTCTTTTAGAATGAGATCCTTATAATTATTTGCTTATTTAATTGATTAGTTGTTAATTGAAGGAAGTAAAATGAAGTGTTAAATTTTTTCATAGGTCTCTTTTAACCAAGGTGAGTTAAAAAAAGAATTTCTTTAATGCTTTAGACAATTATTTTATGACTGTATGCATATTATAGCTTAAGAATGAAAAAAAATGAACAAGAAAAGGAAAACTGAATGTTTAATGTCTCTAAAATGAGATAATTTAAAGGAAATGAAATAAAATGTAAATGTTTAAGTCATACATGATTACCCCCAGATGATACTAATATGAGATGTAATGTACTCGTGCACGTTAAAGAAAATGATAAAGATATACCTTCAGGTACAATTTGAGGGTACATTTAGGTACAATTTTGAGGGTGTCTTCGGACACATTTTTGAGGGTGTCTACAAGCATATTTTTTGAGGATACCTTTGGGTATGACGACAATTCTGTGATGACTATTAAAGAGGTTAAATTGGTAAATACTTAAAGTGAAATGTGAAAAAATAAATTTAAATTTTTAATGAAATAAACTGCATTTTCTTTTTGTCATTCATGTAAAAAATAATGTAAGAATTTAATGCATATTAGATTATAATTATTCACTAAGTTATACTAACAGTTGAAGTTAATGTTTTTTTCAAGAGAAGGAAAGATTTAGATTGATATGTTTGATTTGAGAGACTATTTTGCTAGAGGATGACCACTATTGCTAGGTATATTTTTTTATGATGATAGTTTCTCTTTATTGTTTCTTTTAGGTATTGATATATGTTTAGTACTGGTTTGAGATGTTATCTTTGGATGTTATTGTTTCTGGATGCTTCATATTTTGTTGCACTTTGTGGATTAGTGACTCTGTTATATATTGGAAGTTTTTAATTTATTTTGTGGAAAGAAAAAAAAAATGAAATGTTAATACCGTCCGACTGCAGTTCCCGCCTTAGTTAATTCTAAGCACCGCACCGGGTTGTGACAAAGGTGGTATCAGAGCGATTAGGTTTAATCATGATCTAAAAGAGTCATTAAGATAATTAAATTAATTTATAAGTGATATAAATGAAAGATTAAATTGTGTCTAATCATAATTTTTCTTATGTTAGTTCAAAAATAAGAAAAAATAGGGGGAAGAAGCTAGAGATGATATTGTTGAAGTTGATGCACCCCGCAAATTACTGTGAGTATTGATGCATTTACTAAGATGATTACTGTAGTAATGCAGTTGATTACTCAAATTTAGATTAGTTTTAGTGGAGGTCAGATGGATAAGTACTTGAAGTTGTTTTAGAATATGAGACCACCTCTCTCATCTGGAGGAGATGCGGTAGATGCTGAAAACTGGCTGTTGAGAGTGGAGATCCTAGATGGAGAGATGGTGGCGTGGACAGCTGCAAGAGAAATTTGAGGGTAGATGCAGTCACATGATTCAATGGGGTGAGTTCATGAGCATCTTTAAAGACTAGTTCGTACCATTGTCCGTCTGGAGGGAAATGCAGGATAAGTTTATTAGATTGATATAAGGTGATCGCTCGATTATGCAGTCTGAAGTTGGATTCACTATGCTCTCTAGATATGCACCTCATTTGATTCCTAATGCGAAGGTCAAGTGCTACTGATTTTTATCTAGGCTGAGGGATGTGATTAGACAACCATTGATTCCTCTTGAAATCGATGATTACTCTGTTTTGGTGGAGAGAGCTAGGAGGATTGAGTTGGATCTGAAGGCTACTCAAAGGATGAGGGATATTTAGAAAAGAAGAAATTCAAAGGGATTCAGGTTTCCTCAAGGCTCTCAGAGGCAGTCCTTTTTGTCAGTTGGTACAAGTGCTAAGAAGGCTAGATTCAGAGCATTTACACTCAATTTGAAGCGAAGAAATGTGACAAGTGTGGAAGGTCTCACAAGATTGAGTGTC